CAGATTCCGTCTCCGTCTCGGTTCCGGCGACATCGGTTCTGTTTTCTTAGCCGAATTCAAATCCCTAGCCGCCGTAACAGAAACCACCGCCGTGAAATTACCTCTGTTAGCAGCGAAAGTTATGGATAAAAAGGAACTCGCGAGCAGAAGCAAAGAAGGAAGAGCTAAGACGGAGAGAGAGATTCTCGAATCTCTTGATCATCCGTTTCTTCCGACGCTTTACGCCGCCATTGATTCGCCGAAATGGCTCTGTTTGTTAACGGAGTTTTGTCCCGGCGGTGACCTTCATGTTCTCCGTCAAAAACAGAATTATAAACGTTTCCATGAATCCGCCGTCAGGTAACAGTTTCTGTTAAGTAATTAATTTTTAAATATTCAGTTTCTAAAAATATATTTTTGAAAAAAAATCTTTTGGGAAGTAATTATTATGAAGAAGTGAATATTATAAAAAGCTGATGAAATCAGGGGAAGTGGGACTCGCCAGCTGGCGAATTGTCTCGTAGTTAACACTTAAACACACATAACTGAATTTATGGCACCGTTAATTAATCACTATTGCCTTTTTAACGGTAATTATATCGTAATTATAATATAAAGTGAAAAATCACACAATCTAGATTTAATTCCCGTAATTTCGTCAGAAATTTTGGCAGTTTTCACTAATTAACTTATAAATATTGGTAATGAATTTTTCCAGATTTGTTATTGAAATATGTTTTTATTGATTGATGTGCTCGATAATGCTTTTTTTAATAAACTAGGAAAAGTCTATTTACGCCACACAAAAAGGGACTAGAAAGTGTATTTTAATTTTTAATTAAAAACCATAAAGTGGCGATTTATTTATAATATACTAGTTTTTAACGGCAATTTATGCACTAGTTATATCATAGGCCCATTAAGTTTGTTACTTGTGTAATAATAATCCTAGTGAAAATCACACACAATCGAGGTTTTATTTCCGTAATTTCGTCCGAAATTTTGGCAATTTTCACTAAACGTTAACTTATATATTTGTAATGAATTTTCTAGATTTGCTACTGAAAAATGTTTTTATTGATTGATGTGCTCGATAAATGCTTTTGTTTTATAAACTAGGAAAAGTCTATTTACGCTACAAAAAAAAAGGGACTAAAAAGTCTATTTAATTAAAACCATTGTATAATATATAGTTTTTAAAAAAATTTATTTTATGTAAGCAGATGTATGCACGATTACTTACATGTGTGCGTAAATCGTAGGTGATAACGATTAATAAAAAGTCAAAACGAGTGGGGTTTGACTTTGAAGTAAGAACAAATCACTTAAAGACACGTGTACGTTTTGTAGTGGTACTCGCGTGATTGAATTAAATCACGTAGCATGCAATTGAAGTTGAAATTTTAATATTTTTTGTAATCGGGCATGTGGTTACAGTACAAACAACATCCCAGCTAAGCTTGTTCTTCGTAACAATATTTACAATAGTGCCATTCCCTTTTAAAACCGGTGGTTATTAAATATTTAAAATATATTCTGTTTTGTCTAATGATCTTAATTGGTTGGTCCTACACAATGAGGAATTTTTTGGAAAATTATGAAATTTATTAACCAGTTTTGAAAAGTAGCTGTGGCTTAGAATAGAAGTAGATGGAAGTTATCATTGTTAGTTGAGTTAGCCACTTTTATAATTATTTATGGACCAATTTGTATCACGTGGTAATACTTGAAAACCGGATCTTGTTGTTCTTGGTAGATGTTGGCTCTGATTTATTTGTGTTCTTAAGTTATTGTCATATGACAAAGTAGTAGTGGTTTACACGTTAAAGATCCTACAAGTGAAGTCAAGGTCATTACCAATTGAGCATTTTTGTTTTAATTCTTGTGACTTGAAATTTTTGTGTGCATGTGTGTTTAGTTACACTTACAACTTAATTCTTATGTATAGGACTTTTTACTTCTTTTTCTGTAATTGAGTTTTTATAAGGTTTCTTCTTTATTATTAAAGTAAAATGATTTAGAATTGGGACCAAAACATGTAGTCCAATCTTTTATCATGATTGTAGGGATTCCTTAATACTTAATAGATATCTATTTTTTTTAAGGTTGTCCTACAAAAAAATCAAGGTCCCATTTCTCTCCACGTAGCTGCATTTTTCATTTCCCTTCGAAGGAAAAATGACCCTTTAATCTCGCTTTCTCTTTAAATGATATAAAGAACAATGGCTCTACGGAAATGCATATGTGAACGGATTAAGATTTGGGTTTTATCTTTTGTGTGAACTTGTTTTTAGAATTCGCCTGTTGTACAGTTTTTACTCTGTTTTGTGTGGAGTATGTTTGTTGATTGTGGACCCGTGAAGACAAAAAGGGTCAGCTAGAGGAATCTTGGATAATTTCTTAGCACCAGAACTCTCATTTAGACAAAAGAGTTCGTTAAGCCAACCAACCTTTGTAGGTCCTCTTTTGTTCCTTATGTATAGTGACATCAAACCCAAAACATCATCTTCTTGTCTCCAAATCCAAACAATTGCTGTTTTGTCACAATACCTAAAATTGTAAACCAAAGATTCCAAACAAACTCTTGTTAAATTATTGCAAATCTTAATTATTCGTTTTGTTCTCACTACCATGTTTTCTTCTCTTTGTCCCTTCTTTTCAGATTACTAATCAACATCTCTTTACTATTTTCTAGATTCTATGTATCCGAAGTGATCGTGGCGATTGAATATCTTCACATGTTGGGGATTGTTTACCGCGATTTGAAGCCTGAGAACGTGCTGGTTCGATCAGATGGTCATATCATGCTAACCGATTTTGATCTCTCTTTAAAATGTGATGAATCGACTTCTACACCACAGATAGTGCTGAACCGGAACAACCTTCCTAACGGCTCGTCTGACCAGAACGAGAACCAAGGCATGGACCACCATCAAACCACATCGTCCTCTTGCATGATCCCTAATTGTATTGTCCCTGCTGTCTCTTGCTTTCACCCGAGAATCCGAAGGCGCAAGAAGAAAACTGATCACCGTAACAACGGTCCTGAGCTTGTAGCCGAGCCTGTGGATGTCCGCTCTATGTCCTTCGTTGGTACGCATGAGTACTTGGCTCCTGAGATTGTTTCAGGTATTCTTCAAATCTTCCTCATTCTCCTTTCCTCTGTTTCGATTTGGATTTGAGTTTTAAAACAATATCCATTTGAATGTTTTTTATGTCAAACGTTTTGATTCTTAGGAAATTTTATATAATTCTCAAAAATAAAAGAAATAAAAAGCATTTTCATGTAACTTTCCGATGTGGTATCCTAACATGGAACGTGAACTGTGGATTGCAGGAGAAGGACATGGGAGTGCGGTGGACTGGTGGACATTAGGGATATTCATGTTCGAGCTGTTCTACGGAACAACGCCGTTCAAAGGAATGGACCACGAACTAACCCTTGCCAACATCGTGGCTCGAGCCCTCGAATTCCCGAAAGAACCAACTATTCCAAGCGCGGCCAAGGATCTGATCTCTCAGCTACTGGCCAAGGACCCGAGCCGACGGTTAGGGTCATCTCTGGGTGCAACGGCCGTGAAACGCCACCCATTTTTCCAAGGAGTGAATTGGGCATTGCTCATGTGTACTCGTCCTCCTTTTCTTCCTCCGCCTTTTCGCAAAGAACTTTTATCCGATGACATTTGTCCGGAAACCCATGTCGACTATTATTAATATCTTAATTAGTACTACGTAATTAATTAATTTTCTTCAGATATAAGTATTTCTAAGAAACAAACGCAGCCTAATACTAGTACGTAGTTGCATTTCATGAAATAAAAACTTAGTTCATATGCTAAATATGTTTTTTTGTCAGTTAAAAAAGTTCAATATTTGTCTTAGTAATTTTGACACCCAAATGGAAACCAAGACATGTAACACGGTTAGTGTGTCAATCATTAAATTAAAACTAGTATACTTCCTTCGTTTATTATAAGTGTTGTTTAAGATTGTTTCACATATATTAAAAAATATATAATAATTCAATTTTCTATTTACCCTAGCTATATTAGCATATTATATAAATTTTTTATTGGTCAGTACAATCAATAGAAAATTCTACCAAACATTGAATTGAAATTATGAAACGACATTTATACTGAAACAAAATTTAAAGGCTTAAACAATATTTAACGTCTAATTGATAAATTTTGGAGTTATATGGAAGTAAAGAAAAAAGGAAAAAAATGGAAAGAGCAATGAAAAAAACTAGCGCAAATATTACTTTCTCAAAACTAGAGTCAACATTTGTACGTTCTCTCTCTCTATTCCAAACAATATCTAGCGAGAAAAACTAAAATATTCATTTTTTTCTTTTCTTCTGATTGGTAATTTTTGAGCAGTATTTAAAATAATTATATTTCAGCTGATTTGATTTCAGCTAAGTATGTTATCTAGTCACACCTTAATAAAAAAAAAGGTGAATTTGTTCATAAGGAAATATGGGAACATAAATTAGGAATTCGATATTATGGTTGACTTATCCCTGACAAGAGAATAATAATTGATGAAAATAGGTCTGATTTACATACTTATTACAGAAAAACCAGAGTTTGTGAAATATATGCGTGTGGGCGATACCAACACGGCTTTAAGAGTAAGTGAAATAACATTCTGACAATTCATAAATGCCAACCAGTTGAACTAATAAATGATCCTTACATGACTCACCACCGAATTTTATTTGTGCATGTCTAATAGAAAATGTATTTAGACACCTACATTTGAATCTATAACAAAAACTTACGGACAAAAATTAGAAAATTTAAACCACTAACCTAATAACGTAGATATGTATTAATAAATGTAGCACTTATAGTTCAATATATGACTCTATGAAAGTAGATGAACATGTATCTAAATTTATAGTTAAATAATTCATTAACTAATTGAGAATTTTTTATGAAATTCGAATTTTTTTCCCAGGAACAAGCATGTTTTGATTGCTTTCATGCATAGGCTATGCTCCATCGTCTTCTTCCTTTTCACTCTAAAATTTCTTGTTTTGGTATTATAGTGTATTTCTCTAAATCTTGACCTATTTCCACAAATATCCTTAGATCTGCATCTATACATTGTAGATCTATTTGTGAAGATCCAAAAAATGTTTTACATCCTTATTTGTATCGTGAAAGTTATCTTTTACCGATGAATAAACAATGGCGATGTGAATCGAGCAATTTCCCAAAACACGGCCGAATCAATTCAAGCTTCGACGGTTGTAAAGCCTTCAGGACAGCTTTAACCATGTGTAGCTTGAAGTACTGGTTAACACGTTCACCCACATATTCTTCTCGATCGGCGAATAATCTAGCAGGAAGGTCTAGATCCGCTATGGTCCTGACGAAAAAGGTGAAGATCTTCGTTAGTTATTGGAGCCGCAACAAAATTATGAACATGCAAAACACGAAAGTATACATCTATGCTCATTTGTGAATGTCCAACACGAAAAGTATCGATCTATGCTGATTTGTGAATGTCCAAGATCTGGAAAAAAGAAACGACTAATATAGAATGGTCGGGTTTTTTTGCAAACGACGGAGAAACTGTAGATTTAAAACCAACGACGGTGACTAGGAGCACAAAAACAAACCAAATCGACCTAAGATTTCATTAGACTCAAGAAAACTCCGGAAAAACACGGATGAAACTAAACCGACTGACTCTTAAAAGAACCAACTCCACACCGTAAAAGAAGATGAAAATTCTTGGCGACTGTGAGAAATAGAAACAACGGCGAAAAAAGAAACGTCGCCGGAGAAGAGATACAGTGATTGAAAGAAAATAAAAAACTGATGGATTGATGTAGAAGAGAAGTTGGAAACGCAAGAGAGATGGTAGTTTGCATAAATGAGAGAGACGCGTGGAAACACGCGTAAAGCTATTTTTGGCAAAAAGAGAGGCTGAAATTTTCTATGTTATGGACCACGACAAGAGTTTATGAAAAACTAATTAGACTCAAAATCCTTGTCTCCTGGCCAATTATCTCATAAAAAACGTAGGAAATAATATATAGAGTATTGTTTGGGAAAAAAAAAAGTTGATACCAAAACAAAAAAAAATAAGTTTTCCAAAACCTATAATTATAGAAAAGAAAAGAAAAAGCTAGATAAATTATGTCAGCTACTCAGCTACAAAAAAAATCCCAAAACAAACAATATAAGAAACAGAAAACCAAACTAATGCAAATCAAAAACCCAAGTGCAATTGGACTTGGCCACACACAAAAAAAACAAAAAAAAAAGATAAAAAGAAAATACACGACTAGACTCAATATGCATTTGAGTCATTTATTGTTTACTGAGATTTTGGTACAACTAAATGAGTTCCACATTTATGTATCATATGCGCTTTCATTTGAAAAATTATTCATGTGATCATGTCTTTATGTTATTACTGCCATTTTCATTTCGGACAAGCAAAATTTTTATATTATTTCCAATAGATTTGGACAGCAACTTCACGTGCATGGCTTTATTGTAATTGTACTTTTGGCTTATCCTAAAACTGTACAAACCAATCATTGATTCTACACCAATTCGACCGTCATGGGTAGGCCTAGTCATGGGTTCACTCGTGTTCATAGTAGCTGCCTGTTTCGGACAAGTGAGAAGAAAAATATTCAAATAAAAGACTTCTACAAAGATAAACACAATTTACCAAATTTTCTAATCTAAAACCTCCAATTATTTTGCTTTAAATATTATGTTTTTAATTTTGTCCAATAATAATAATATATATATTATGTTTTTAATTTAACAAAAAGTATAAAACGACCATTTGTTAGATTAGTGTTAACTGATGCAAAGCAATACCACGAAATATCTACTTCTTCCACTCTTTGTTGAGGTCACCAAGAACTTGAAGCCAATAATGATCCAATAGTCTCCAAAGCTACACCTAACCCTACTTTTGTGTACCTAGAACTTCGAGAACATTTTCAAAGAAAAAGTTCCATGTATAGCGAACACATTGTAGTTAGACATAATGAATGATCGAGTCCCTGCTTCCAAATTAAAATTTTGTTAAAATAAATAATATACATATTAAAATGTATTATCAAAAATTGGTTTCCCGTTAATGTAGATGAGGCCAAATGATGTTAAAAGAAAATTAGAAAAATCGATATAGTTGTTTTTTTTTAATGATAATTTAATTAAAATCAATGTTCATAACATGATCGGTCGGTTCCATTCCATAAACACGCGTAGCAAACATGAAAACATAAACAAACAAAACGGAACAGTATATGAAAGCTGGATTTATCATAGATCACTTTTTCCTTGTATCAATCTACATTACATTTAGAGATTCCAATTTAACGTTTCACCGATTAAATTGATTGGGCTGGATTTTGATTTCAGACTTTCCATGAATAGTTCACAAAAAACACCTAAAAGAAAATGTTTTATAAACGTTTTAATTAAAGATAAATTCTATCTAAGTTCAAGTATCATAGACATTGTCTAAAAACAAAGAGTAGATATCATATAAGAATATAAAATTCCAAGATTTAAATACTTTTTGCTGATTGAAAAAGATATTTAGGAGCAATACACTCTTTTGTTAAATCCATGCACAGAATCTGGTCTCTTGTCTTCGCATATGAGATAAACTTATAAAAATTGAGTTTCTCATCGCTCTACTAATTAATAGTGAAATATAACCAAATTAGAAAAGTCTATTAAAGTTTCACAGAGAGGGTTTGTCCGAATCTTCATCGAATCTCCCACTCCACGTGAAATGTTTGGCAGGGGAGGCTAATGAATTCGGTATTATATATATGTATATTCCGTATTACGTACTACTGTGGAAAAAATCCCTCTGATGCACATACATGGTTAGACCACTAGTTTGATGTTTTCTGATGACTCTCAAACATTTAAATTATTGAATTTGGTTGAAAACGAAAAAAGAATCGGACAAAAAAGAGCCAAACATGTATAAATTACATTGGGTCAGAAAAGAGACGAATGATACTTCTTAATATGGAAAAGATTAAGTCTTGAATTTATGTAATGTGAAAATTGGATCTTCTCATAATTTTATGGAGAATATGATCAATTTTTTATTTTATTTTTTTGACAAAGAAATGATCAAATTTGTGTACCGATTAGAAAAGTTGGGTTGCACAAGGTCTAAATACTCGAGGTAAAAAAGAATGGAGATGGGCCGACGTGAAATGATTTCTTGTTCTCGTGTTTTTTTATCCTTTTTATTTTGTCCATAAAGATTGATTAGTTGCGTTATTTTTATTCGCTCATAGTACGTAAAACAACATTTTTTTTGGGTGAATTGTACGTAAAACAACATGTTATTTAGTTAATACGATCAATATATCTTTTGCTAAATCAATAATTCTAAAACAAAAATCAATTTTAAAAGAATATATGTTTACCAAATTTTTAAATACTCTAAACAAATAATATGTATAAGTGAAATAATTTTTTTTTATAGAAAATTAACAATAAATAAGATTGAAAATACATGAATGGTAAATGAACGCACATAGTGAAAAACTACATGAAGAATATTTGTAATTAAAAACTGTAAGAAAATATGACTCCCTAAAACACTTTTATAGTTTTTAAAGGGGAATTATTCACTTTTGCTATATTCATTTTCAAAAAATGCTTCATTTAGCATTAACCCTGAAAAGACTTATAATTAAGGTATTAGTAACATACAACTATCTAAACCAAAGAGATGATGAAAAAAAGAATAATAAAACACGATCATAAAAAAAATTATGGTCAAGAGACGCACCCTTAAATGAAAAATAACAAAATGAACAGTCATAATTGATGAAACGTAATGCCCAATTGCTAACATCTCCTTGGAGGAGACAAGTCCAAAAAGGCGGGGAGCAAGTTACGGACAGAAAAAACCCGATAAACCAGGTCGTGGTGAAGGGGACAGCAGGTGGTGGCAAACCACCAAAGCCAAAGGTTGATAAATGAAGGTATTGAGTTGGAATTGTCAAGGACTCGGGAATAAGGCAACTATCGGTTATCTTCGGGATATATGGAAATAACACCGGCCAGATTTTTTATTTCTTTCGGAAACAAAACAATCTTCTTTGTTTATGGAAAAATTCATCGGTCATTTTGGTTACAAAAATTTAAAAACGGTTGATCCTATCGGTTGTAGTGGCGGTTTAGCTTTGTATTACAATAATGATTTTAATGTATCAATTATTTTTGAAAATAATCGTTTAATTGATGTTGAGGCTGTGGTGAAAGGAAAAACAATTCATCTCACTTTTGTTTATGGTGATCCGGTTCCGAAAAATAGAGACCAAGTTTGGAAACGGTTAACACGGATCGGCCTTAATCGGGATACACCTTGGTTTTTAATAGGTGATTTTAACGAGTTAACTGGAAATCATGAGAAAAGAGGGGGTAAGTTAAAACATGCATCTTCTTTTATCCCCTTCAATTTAATGATTCAAAATTGCGGCATGTTGGATTTTCCATATATCGGAGATTGGTTATCCTGGCGGGGTTGGCGGGATAAAAAACCAATACGGTGTCGCTTGGATAGAGCTTTAGCAAACGAAAATTGGCATGAAATATTCTGTAATTCTTTCGTAGAATATTTACCAATGGTTGCTTCTGATCATTCTCCGGTGGTAGCTACGCTTATGGATAAGATACCACGTGGAAAACAAAATTTTCGGTTTGACAAGAGATGGATCGGGAAGGAAGGACTATTAGAGGCAATATCAAATGGTTGGAATTTTGATACTGAGTTGGGAGAAGGGAAATTTGTGGAAAAATTAACTAATTGTAGGCGGGCTATCTCGCAGTGGAGGAAAGAATTAACTCCCTACGGGCGGAAATTAATTGAGGATCTAAAAAAGGAATTACATGAGACACAAAGAGATGATAGGAGATCCCGGGAGGAAATTACAGAATTAACATTGCGGTTAAAAGAGCCTTATCGAGATGAGGAAATGTATTGGTACCAGAAAAGTAGGAGTTTATGGATGAAATTAGGGGATAATAATTCGAAGTACTTTCATGCTGTCACCAAACAAAGACGGGCAAGGAATCGAATTACGGGTTTACATAACGAAAACGGGATTTGGTCCGTAGAGGATAAAGATATTCAAAATATAGCGGTATCTTATTTTAAGAATTTATTTACTACAACTAAGCCTGATGCTTTTGAGGAAGCCCTGGCAGAGGTTCAAACTCTGATTACGGATCAGACTAATAATTTTCTAGCGGCTCCTGCAACGGAGTGTAAGGTGAGATCGGCTCTGTTTATGATGCATCCGGAAAAAGCACCAGGGCCGGATGGTATGACAGTCCAAAAGGCTTGGGTTACTATAAAAGCAGATCTTCTTTTTCTGGTCAACTCTTTCTTAGAGGATGGAATTTTTGATAAACGGTTAAATACGACTAATATTTGTCTGATCCCAAAGACGGAAAGACCGACACGGATGACAGAATTACGGCCTATAAGTCTTTGCAATGTTGGTTATAAAATTATATCAAAGATTCTTTGTCAAAGACTAAAGACGGTTCTACCTGCACTAATCTCAGAAACACAATCGGCTTTTGTAGAAGGTCGTTTGATTTCGGATAATATTCTCATTGCACAAGAGATGTTTCATGGGTTGAGAACTAATCCGTCCTGTAAAGAGAAATTCATGGCTATTAAAACGGACATGAGTAAGGCTTATGATAGGGTGGAATAGAAGTTTATTGAGAAGGTTTTAAGTAAATTGGGTTTTTGTGAAAAATGGATTAATTGGATAATGTGGTGTATTACAACAGTCCAATATAGAGTTCTCCTTAATGGACAACCTCGAGGACTAATAGTACCAGAAAGGGGGTTACGACAAGGAGACCCGCTTTCGCCCTATTTATTTATCCTCTGCACTGAAGTGCTAATTGCGAATATTCGGAAAGCAGAACGGGAAAAATTAATTACAGGTATCAAAGTTGCAAATGCAAGCCCTTCGGTTTCACATT